TAGTATTGTAGTAAAGCACACATAATACTAGAAACAAAAAATACTGAATTATTCTTTAGTTTTTATGCAGCCTGACTGCAAAACAATATTAAAAAACCATGACTTCAACCATGACAATTGGGTTTTACATTGAGTGCGTGGTTTTAAAGACTCCAGCAAATTGCAAACAATTTTCTGGAGTCTTTAAAAGCACATACTACCATAACATCCACCATTATCCACACCTTCCAGGACCAATATACTCATAAATGGCAAAATTAGAAGTTTAAATATTTTCCTGGTCTAGCCAAACTGCTCCTCCTGCGATCCATCCAGTGCATACCAATGCATTGATTACATGGGAGCCTCTGTATGCTTTGTAGAAAACCTATTCTATGCCCATGTAGGTTGGTTGGCGTAATGCTCCTATCTCTAGCAGCACATACTTTCCTTTGCATTGCTTTCCCACTGCTTTGCCATCAGGAGCTTAAAAAAAACAGATATGGAGAACATGTGACTTGCTTCCTTTTCTCTAATGTGACAGCTGTGGTACTTTGTAATTGGTCTGGGGATGTCAAATGGGGGTTGGAAGTGTTTTCTCAGCCCCATGTAAGCTCTGAGTAGCGCATCCTGGAGCTTACACAGGCTTTTCTCTCCATGCTTATGCTAGCTGAATAAATCTCCAAGGTAGTGAAGCAAATAAGAGTGTGTGTTGCTGAGAAGCAAAGGTATTAAAGAGGACCTGTTGCATTACCCTGCATGGGTAAATCACAGGTTTGAACAAAACTTTTACATTATAACAGTATGATCTAGATTGCTTATTGGGGATCATATTTTGAAGTAGACAGAGCAACTAGAGATTCTGGAATGTAATTATGTCAAGTTAAAGTAGAATGTAATACAGGCAGTTTTTTTCTTCTTTAAATTGCAAGAATGTCATAGTCCAAGTTTTCCAAAATAGGGCCCTTGATTTGTCAATTTTTTTTGCTTGTGGACATATCTCAGGAGACCTCTTAGCTTATAGTCCTTTGACTTTAGGGCAGTCATTGATGTGCACATTTCTGACCAAGAAAAGTGGAGCTATTGTACAGTTGTTGTCCACAAACTATTTTCACAGCTTGTTAAAAGATCTCTTAATAATGATTGGTTCCAACAAACAAACGCTTTTGGTATCACTCTGCATGGCTCAGTTGTCTCAACAGATGTTTGAATGGCTTGTGCCACTTGCTTTTATTTGTTTCTATGGCCTAAATCTACTAACCCAACTCCTGCATGTCAAGGTTTGAAAGTCACACCAGACCAGTGATATTCACAACCGGCAGGAACATTGGTTTCCTTTTCACCTCTTCGTATTTAGCAAAAATGTCCAAATCCATTCTGATGTAAATTCTAGAAGAGAGGGGACCTCAGTTACAGTGAGCAATAATCAAGAATAGGTCTCTTGATGCAGCTCATTATCCAAACAGATTTAAAATGGGGTTTGAAAAATCTACACATAAACTAGAAGATACATTTAGAGCGAAACTATTACTGCCCGTTGTATTATCTTTTATTCTACAAGTTTTATTTTCATTTACATAAAGGTTTATTTTACAAATAAAAATTTAAGGCGAGATGGTTTTACTGCGCATTGTGGGTTTTCCAGCAAGACAGCCCGTCATTTGTTATAATGCCTAAATTAATGTCTTTCTATAATTGAAACTCTATAGAGTACCGTATAAACAAAAAGGAGAGTGTTG